AACACAAGAATTGCTGAGCTATTTCATTCCCAATAAAATCGGTAGAAGGATAAAGCCACTGAGGTGTTAGCACTTGCACAGAATGATAAAACCACAGAGTATCCTGAGTTGGAATGGATCCATAAATATCAGGTCCAACTCCTATGGTTTCACTGGAGGTGATAAAAATTACTGAGAAAAATAAAGATAAGCAGACCAATGAAATCATAATCACTAGTATTACAGGATTTTTTTCAAGAGGATTTTACAACAGGCAGTCATGGTAGGGTGTTTAATTATTCTGTAATACAGTCTACTTTTTTCTCTTTTGAATATGTGAAATTCACTGTACTTGAATTGCTTATGTCAGGCTGCTAACGTTTTTAGGATAATGCATTGAAGATTCTAGATCTTATTTGCAGACTTAGCTTTCTGTATGTATGCTTTAAGTATTTAAATAATTCTTTCTCTGTTTACATTTAAAAATAAAGAGCCAAATATCCAAGTTTGCGTAATAGTATCATCTATGACTCCAGATGAGAGGGCTGCTTGAGGCCAGCAGTCAGCCTGCCTTATTGCCTTTCTCCAGGTAAGAGAACCTTGCTGCAGGAACGGTCCTGTGTGGTGTATTTGATGCTTTGTGGTGCTGCCCACTGTCTGACTGTGCTGAGGTCTAATCCTACTTTCACTGGAAGAATAATAAATACGGGAACCAAACTGCTTTTAAGGAATTTATTTTTAACATGCCTTCATGATCTGTACTGCTCCACACTTAAGAAGGCTTAAAGAAGAGGAGATAGCTGTTGTTGTTTAGTCTGCAGCAGAGAAACAAGAGATCCTGGCTGAGCACACTAAGGGCTGTGTGTGACCACAGATATGCTCTGTGGTATGGTGACCAAGGATAGACCAGAAAACAGGAGCAATCACAAGTGTTGCAGAGCTTTCAGTGATTTCTGCTAATCCTTATCTCTGCTGTATTTGCCCTAGGATCTCTGTGGCTACAAGCAGCTTCTCACAAGGTGTATTGTCTCTAGTTTTTTATTCGTAACTGCTCTCAGAGATCTGACAGTTCATTTAATGGGGCAGAGGTCTGATATCATATGGTGATCTCCCATCCTTTCAGTAGCGGACTGAGACTACGGAGAACTTTTTTTTAATCTTACTGTTACCCTTCAAATTAACCCACCTAGGCTAAAGAACAAATTTTACTTTGTGAAGTATCAAAGCAGCGTGGTGTGCCCAGAGGTCTATGGAAAACAGTGAACAGGATGGTCTGATATAAACTGTTTTTTGTTGTTGTTTTTTTTTTTCAGTAGAAATGCAGAAATGCCAGCTTCTTTCCATAAATGTTCCTGTTCTTGCAAGTGGTTTTTTTTTGTTTTGTTTTTTTCTTTCTTTCTTTCTTTTTTTTTCTGTTGGGGGGGGGGGGGACTGAGAGGGAGGGGGTAGAGTGGTCTTTAATGTGTGTGTGTGACAATGACATATTTAACCTTTCTCTTTTCTTCTCTGGGAGGCTGCCTGATAAGCAGCACTGATCCCAGTGCTTCTGTTCCACTCAGGTTTGAGTGTTTTTTGCCATACTAAACATTCCTTCTTTTTTTTTTTTTTTTTTTTTTTTTCCCTTCCAAATTTTCCTTCCTTCCTTTGTGATCTGCACTTTAATGTAACCAAGTGAACTAGCTCATGTTTTCTCATTCCCAATTAGTTCCCCTCCTGACAGTAAGGAATGGGTCTGGAAGTCCCAGAGTCAAAAGCATGAACTACTTCTCAAAAACAGTGATTATTTTCTAATTCAAAACATGCAGTTATTTTTGCTCAAGTACAAAATGCTTAAAGTCTGGAAAGCGGCTGCTACAGAGGTTTCTGGAAGGAATTCCCCTCTTGGAAAGACATTCAAAATATTGTACGTGGGCAAAGAATTCATTAGGACTCAGGCTCCCTCTCATGTAAATATTGGCCAGTGCTAGAATTAGCACTCTGTGTCGGAAGGAACACGTTTCATTATACTATGGTAACTTTGAGTTACTTGTGGCTGGCTCCTCTCGATTGAAGTCAGCACTGATTTAGTAGGAAACCCACTGTGAGAGTAGGAAAATGCCATAGGACCCTATTGTACCATTATTTTGGGTTTCTCAATTACACCACTCAGTGACACAAAGCCACAGTTACCTGGCTGCGTCTCAAATGCCCTAAGTCCCACGCACCCAGCCCCACCACAAAACCTCAGATACGTGGCTCTGACGGATGGTGTTAGAATGAGGGTGGAGTTCAGTTCAGTAACCAATTAAATGCATCTTAATGTTCTAACATGCTTTCTCTTCATATCTGGGACAACAAATGCTGCAGTAAAGTTTTATTTAAAGCAGGTCTGTTTTTCAAAATGGGTCTTACATATGGAACAAAACATTCATTGTCACTTCACTGTTTAAACCTTTATTATTGCTTTTTTTCTGGGTACAATGGGCTTTTATGTACCAAACAGCTGTGTTCATCATGTTTATTTAGAAGGCATCCATTGTAGTGGAAAAAGTCTGGAGGACAAAAATCTTGGTGAAGTGCAAGACTACTCTGTGGGTGCTGGCTTATTTATTTATTTGTTTCTGTCCAGCTCTTTGGTCAGCATGCAGGTCACATACACAGGCACTGCCATGCAGACTTGCAAACCCAATGTAACAGCAGCCTCTTACAAGTGCTGTTTCTCATCCTAAGCAATCTCCTCCAGAAATTTTCTATCGCAAGGCAGCATACAAGACGCCTAACTATTTTGTATCCTATGATCCTACCATTTCTCAATCTGTTGCTATTTTGGCCACTCATTAGGTCACTTTCCAAATATTGTGTACAGCTATGTGTCAATCATTGTCACAGCCCAGCTCCTGGCTAAGCCAATCCAGGACAAAACTGGGAGGAAAAAAATGCCAGCCAAAGCAAGCACTGTGCAGAAAACAGTCAACGATTTAACTGTGGAAGGCTACGTGTCTTCCAAAGATAGCATAAGCCCACTTGATGCACAAGTAGCACACAGCACTGTTGCTCCCCAAAATAGTTCTACACACTCAAAATACTCAGTTTATGCCGACTGGCACCTGCAAATAAACAGATGTTAGAATTTCAAGAACTGAGAGATGACACTGTAGGAAACTCTTGGGTGGCTCCTGCCTAAAAGCAGCCTAACTTGGTTTCTGGAAAGAGCAAAACATCTAGCATATGGACAGAACTTTTCCTATTGAGTAAGATCATCCCTAACACTTTCTAAACCTGTCAATGGAAGCAGCTGTATAAGCAAGCAGCATTAGCTGGGGGAGCTGAAAGCATTCCCACTTCCTTCAGAGCACGCTCGGTGGGTGCTGCTGTGCCCTAGGAGGTGGCCCTGCCCCTTCCCTCGTCCCCAAACATGAGCTGCGTTAATACACAGCTCAGGTCAAGCCTGGAACCAAAGACATGACCTGTGCAAGATCCCTTCCCTCAGAGGGTAATGAGTTGTGGCACAGTGTGGCCCAGGTGGCAGCTCCCTAAAGGAGGGCCAATGGGTGGCACAGGTTTGGCTGCTGCCTGCAGGGTGACCTGGGTAAATTCTGAGGAGCCAGGGAGACAGTGCTCCAAAGGGGAGTGGTAAAGGGGTGTGAGGGGAAAAATGGAGAGAGATGTGAACCGAGAGGAAAAATGGAGAGAGTGTGACAAAAGGATTAACTCCTATCTGTGAAAAGTGCAAGTAGAAACAGGAGAAAGAAGTCAGGAGAAACTTCAGGAAAAATTCTGGAAGCTGTTTTGGGGACTTTGTGCACGTGCCCTTTATCTGCTTTTGTGGGTGATTCTTTGTTTCAGGGTTGTTTTTTCTGCCTTCTTTCTCCCCAGAAGAAGGAGTCAGAATAAGCACAGCATACCCTGAGTGCACCAGCCCCAGGACTGGGCAGTGGACATACAGCTGAACCTGGCTCTTGTGACTACCTGGGGAGCACAAAGCTTTTGGTTCACATGGAGTAGCAAAACCTATCTAGTAACAGGGGGCTGTGGTATGCTCCCTATTCCAGCAAAATCAATGTGCTGCAAAGGATGTGTGTTCCTACATCAAGTATTCTGTGTTATATGCTTGCTAAGGGTGCATCAGGCTGACTGGATTGTGAATTATATGCTCTCAAAAATAGTTTGTTTCAGTTGTCTCAATAGTTGTCTCAGACTGGATGTGTTTGCAAGATTCTTAAGCAAGAAATGATTTCTAATTAAGGATAAAAGAATGCGTATACAGCTTGAGCTCCTCACTCCTAACAGCTGTAATATGGTGACTGGTGGGGAATTTGAGTGGTTTTCATTGAACAACCCCATCATTGATGGATTAGAAATAGGTATTTTGACTGAGAACACTTCTGAAGCCTGTACTGGGAAGACTCAGAAACACCCCTCTCTGGGCAGCGCTCCGGAGGTTGGGCACAGCACTGCAAACCCTCACCCAGTGCAGCCACCACAGAACACCCGAGGCAAGAGCCCTCCCCAAGGCACAGCTCTGCTGTTTGGAGGGTTTTAGCTGCCATGCACCAGTGGAGACCCCCATTGCAGAAGTGCTTGACCCCAACAACTTCCTGTGGCAAGGCGCTCCACAGCGGATTGTCTCTGCCTGCTCCAGAGTTATTTAATTTCCTTCCCTTGGGTCCCTATAGCCCAGTCTTGCCCGACAAAACGCACGCTCAACTTTTTTGCTTTTGTCACGTCCCTTCTTACACTTTCTTAACCTATAAAGATAGATACAAAAGTGATTGACTATTGCCAGAGAGAAGAAAGTGATCTAAATATCACTTTTAAATAGAGGGGGCACGTCTCGCTGTTAGTAGGGACGAGGTGTTTTCCGTGCGCCCGTCCCTCCACCTCCTCCGCACTTCTGGCAGCGGGGCGGTCGGATCCCGGTAACCATTTACCACACTGTCAACACCGGTTAGCGGGACAGCGGCGTGGGGCAGCGTCCCCGCGGTCCCCCGTGGGGCGGAAGGCGGCCGAGGGCTCGGCATCATGGCGGTTGGGGCACTCACCTCGCTGCGCTGGAGCTGGAAGAAGCTGTTGAGATAGCTGGAGCTGAGCGAGGAGCCCAGCTCCGGGGGGCTCTTGGTGTAGCCGAGGTCGGGGTGCTGCGAGGAGGAGGGCTCGGGGCGGAAGGCATCGAAGGCGCTGGCCTGGTGCGTGTCTTGCAGCGAGAGATAGACCCAGTTGAGGAGCTGGGCGGGCTGGTACACGGACGCGGCGCTGGTGTCGATGGCTGACAACAAGCTCATCTTTCCCCCGAGCGGCGGCCGCCTCCGAGCTGCCGCTCCCGCTCCGGCCGCGTCCCCGTCCTCGCGCGGGCCGCCTCCTCCCGCCGCCCAGAGGACGGGCCGGGGGCTCGCCGCTCCTCGCTCGCTGCCCTACGGCCCGCGGAGCCCGCCCAGCCCCAGCGCTCCGCGCCGCACAGGCATCGCTGCCGCCGCCCGCGGGCCGCGCAGGAAACTTTCCGCGCTCTGCTCCGGGCCCCGCTATCTGTCTTTATTCCCACTCCCGCAGGCACGGCCGGGGAGGAGCCGCCGGCGCTCCCATACGCCTCCCGCCCGCCGCGGGGTGCGGGGCCGGGCGGGGCTCTGATCCGGCCGCCTCCGCGCCCGCCCCGGCCCGGTGTCCCCGCACGGGGCGCGCCGGCGGGCGGGCTCGCTCGGCCCGGGGCTTCCTTTTCCTCTTTCCTGCGATAGCTGCCTCGCACGCGGCCGGCCCGGGGCTGCTCGCTCGGGGCCGTTGCGGAGCGGGCGAGCCCCGCTCGGTGCCCCGGCGTCCCGCCCCCGCTCCTCGCTGGGATCCGCGGCGCGAGGTGCCCGCTCGTTCACCCCCTGCCAGAGGCGCAGTTTACAGAAGCTCCCTGGCTGCGAGCGGTGCCAGGCCCTGCTGATGGCCAGGGTTTCCCAAATAAGGCGGCGAGCGTGCCGTGTTCCGCTGGAACCCCGCTAGGCTGCTCTGGCCCCGGGCCGCGCCGAGGTAACGCCGCGGCCTTTTAAGGAGTCGGCAGCACGAGGGGGTGATGGACGATCGCGCTCTTTGGAAGGAGCCTCAGCGGTCTTGTTCCCAGCAGAAGAAGAAGAAGACGAAGAGGGAAAAAAAATCCAACACTTTCATTTCTTAGATAAAACAAAAATCTGACCTTTGAAACTTCAAAGTTGGCATCCAGGTTTGCCATAATGAGTCACACGTCTCTGCTACACTGGAGGAAAAACCACTGTACTGAATGCAGTAGGAAATGCAGGCTGGTGTGTGCACAGCAGGTAACTCATCAGCTGCAAACCTGACAGGTAGATGCACCTTTCTGCTGAAAGCAGAAGTGCAGTCAGCTGCACAGCTGCCCACTTGCTGGAGTGTGAGAGAAGGTGGGGTTTGCAAAGCTGCAAAGCCAGGTCAGGTTTGAAATAACTAGATGCAACTTAAGAGATGCATTAAAGGAGATGCAACTCCTTTAATGGTGCTAATATGTATATTTATTTTAGAAGAGAAAGTTCTTGCAGTGTGGATCCAATCTACTCATTTATGAGCTCTTGGTTCACAGGCACCTCTGGGAGTTTCTGAATGTGTTTGTGTCAGTCCAAGAAGGAACAGGCTGTGCTGGGCGGTGCAGAGGGTCTCAGTTGTCTGTGGCACACATGGTGGGGTCACAGAGCCTGAATCAAACTGCACTCAAATTCAAACGATTGCTTAGGGTATTATTCAAACAAAAAAAGTTTGAACTAGGTTTAAGGACTTAATAAATTATGGATGAGGATTGTACTGTATTTGCTGGTAAATGGAAAAAGAACGAGAAATAAAGCTTGTGTTTGTGGAGCCCGCGTTTCTGGTAGGAGGTGATGGTCATGTCAGGGCAAGGCTCCGGGTTTGCAGTTGTGAACTTCTGTGGGCGTACTAATTCCTTCCTTAATGACACTCTGCATTTTTATCACTTCCTTCTTTTACCTGATAAATTAGTTCCACTGCTCACTCCCGTAGTGTGTGGACAGTGATACAGTGAAGCTCAAGGTTGCTCTGAGCAAGCAGGAAACAGAATGTAGCAGGGTTCCTGTAGTGATGTGGAGTGGCGGAGGTGCTACAAAGTTTCACGAGTGCTTTGGGCATATTTGCAATTCCCCCCGGACAGCAGGCCAGCTGGATTCTGGCTATGTGGGGGGTTGAGCGTGTTGAGAAAGTGCTTTGTTCAGCCAAGCGTCAAGAAAGGGAAAGACTGCAAATGCCTCTGCTGCGAGTGGTTCAATCATGCAGTGCTCGAACTGAGGGATGTGGCTGCCATCCTGGCCTGCTGCTGTAGCCTCTTCTGGAACATAATTTCTATGGAATTCTTTCCCTCTGAATTGGAGATTGCTCGTAGCTCAGCAAACTGCCGCTGCCACATTTGCAGATGTCCAGTGATCATCAAGATGATGACTTTTTTTTTCTTGTAAGTCTCCTCCTTGTTCACCTTTAGAAGTCATAGATTGAAGAGAAGGGGATGAGCACAGTGGTCACTGCAACAGACGTGTTGCAGTTGAGAAAAAAATGCTGTGAAGTTCAGTTTTGTCAGTTGTTCTCTGAAAGGTGTGGGGGAAACTAATCCATGAGACAGCCCAATGGCTGCAAGATGCTTTCAGCTCAGTTCCTACTGATCATGGCAGGCTGGAATGTAAGCAACATCAGCTGCATGGACTGTGCATCAGCTGCATGGTGCTAAAGCAGTAGCTTGTTTATCCTCCTGGTCTTACTTGTGTGTGGTGTTAATGAAGTCAGAAAACAACCAGAACTGTAACATGAAACTTTAAATGGCTTGCATGGCTTATGTGACTTGGTAATAGTCTTGAAAGAGGTCAAAATCAAATGTACAGAGAGAATCCAGCCTGTTTATCCCAGTTCTGTTCCCCAAGCAGCAGGTCACTGTGCAGTTTATTAGTGTCATGTAGCTGCTCACCTCAGCAAGCTGGGCTTCTTGCAGCTGCTCTCTGCCTGAGGAATTTTTGCAATAGGAGGAACAGAATTGTCAACTTCTGGCCAGGAATCACATCATTAATCCAAGCAGTCATGTTCCTGCTTTCAGTGTTCATACCTTTAGAAGGTGACAGCCATTAACTTACACTGTGCTTCATAAGTGTGTTTATGTTAGGATTTATTTGTTTGTTTAATGATATTCTGCTTTGTTGCTTTGTTTTGTTTTGTTTTGTTTTTCCAAAAAAATGCATGCACCCTACTAGAAAATTTCCTAGGTTCTCATCCTTTTTAAAAACATCTTGGCCTGATTTGCTGTCATCTTAGTTTAGCTCCTAACTAGGTGGGGTTCCAAGGAGAAGATGGAAGTAATGTCTAAATGTGGCAATGAGAGTGGAGAGCTTTGAGCCTATCACTGAACCCACAAACACACAGTGCAATGGGCCTCTCAGCTGCAGCACAGCAGGAATATTCTAAGTGAAGTTTTTTCTCTACCACAGAGATTCTTATGAAATAAATTAGCCATGCTATGGAAATAGTACGTAAGCACCCTTCGGATTATGAGAAGGCATTTCAGTTTTACAGTTGTAATAACAGTACATCTTCATGTGATGTTGCTCAGATCTGGATGTCAGACACTTGTGCTTGCTATGTAGGTAGGGCGGTTCTGCTGCCAGAAATGAAGCACAGCATAAACCAAGCATTATAAAAGTTAGTCTAGAAAATGTAACCTAGCGTTATGTACAGAAGTCAAAATGCATGTTTTCTTCCCCTAAGCAGGCGCGATGTAAAAGTGCTCTTCCTTCTAGAGCTTTGACATAGAAAGTTCTGGAAATGAATGAATATGAATTTAAAGCTTATCATCTGCAGCCTTTTAGTAAATACATACCATATGCAATACTGACTTGCTGTGGGTAGTGTGCCAAGCACAGCTCCTAAGGCTGCCTAAAACCACAAAGTGGGTAATTGCTGTAACAGACCCTCACTGAGCACGTGGTTCTGCACCTGGCCAGCTTATGGTTTCAAGTCTTGGGGCCTCCCCACTTGCTCTAGGTTAGCATATCTATGCATTGCTGAATAATTGCATGAATACTGTAGTTAATATGGGTAGTTGTATGAGGAATACTGCTTTCAGTGGTTTGGGGTTTTTTGAAGAAGGAGGTGTTTTTGTTTTGGTTTGGTTTTGCATTGTTCTACAAAGGTCTCTGCTGACTCTTCAGCTGCTGGACAGACTTCTGAAGTGTTCTGTTTATTTCACATCAAGAGACAGGAGGTCTTGTGTCTACTGCTGGTCTAAGAGTTTGGCATCCCTAACCAAAGCAGTAGCTGAGGCGTGGTATCCCTGTACTTAGCCCATCCTATCCCCTTGCTCTCACTTGCTCTGGGAATCCTATGGAGCCGGGAAAGGCAGCAGAGTAGAGGGGAGGGAGGGGACACAGGCGCAGCAGTAGCCCCTGTGCCCTGCCTGAGGGACCTCAGTGGGTACTGGCATCCCCAGCCAGCGAGCAACACATTATTCTGCCAGTGCATATAAATGGTTCTGAGTTTGCCCACTGTGGAAGAACAAGGCTAAAGAAAAGAGAGCAATGGCAGGAAGGAGAAGAAAACAGCTGAGATAAAGGCGAATGAAATCAGCACTAAATAATAAGAGAAGAGGGAGCAAGTGGGGCCTATGAACAGAGTGCTGTAATGGGATTGGAGCTGCAATTTGATTTTTGATAGCAGACCGCCCGTTGTGGAGTAATGTCTGCCTTAGGTCAGCTCGGCTCTGGGAGCAGTGTTTTCTCCATGGCCTATGAGCCTGGTGGCACCACAGTTGTCTCTCAGTCTGTCCCTGCCTCCTGCTTTAATGCTGCACACTCAATGGTTTCTTCTCAGTGCCTTCTTTACATACTCAGCCCTATTGGAAATTTTGCTTTTTCTGTGTTATCCCAGATTTCCAGCAGGTTGGGTAACAGAACAAGGGTTCAGTTTTTTCACTGGAGTGTGTGCATATCCTTCACTGCAACTTCTGTGGCTGAGGTGATTCTAGACTGGGCATTTCTGGTGTTTAGCCCTACCCCCGTTCCAGGAAAGTTTGTTTCCTGGTTACTTTGAGTTGACACAGTATTTATATCAGAATCGGAAAGTCTCCAAGGAGATTTCAGGCACTTCTTTACGTAAAACAAATGAACTGCAGACGTTTGAACACAAGAGATTTTGTTTTCATGTTCCAGAATGTGGTTCTTTGTTTCAAGTAAGGTCTCTCTCTCTTTGCCTTAGTCAGCATACCTCACATACCTGTCAAATTTACTGAGATGTTCTAGAAAATGTCTTACCTACATCGCCTGGCTCTCGGTTGTCTGGTGCTGGCAATATCTGTATACAGCTTTGAGTAGGCAGAAGCTGCTACTCAACACCATCTCATCAAGGGCCCAAAGTCATCAGCTTTTCCATCTGATGGCATATTGGGTCTTGAATTTGTTCTGCTATAGGGTTTCATGAGGACAATTATGTTGCTGCAGGCAGAAATATGACTAAGCTGCTCTTGTATAGAACTTTATGTCCATTTATCAGTTATATGTAAAAATAATTGTATTCTTCATTTCCTCTATGCCATCCTAGGTGAGAAAGATGAAGATATAGTGGAGATTACAGTAAAGAAGTATAGGTAATTAAGTTGTAAGGAAAAACATACTCCACTCTGTTGATGTAAAGTTGGAATATTTTGAGCAAAACTGTTCTTCAGGAAAGTTTTGGATTTGAATTCTGTTTCTGGTTTGTTATTATCATTGTTTCCTTGTGTATTTTTGTTTGTTTGTTTATTTTATTTTGCCTATTAACTTGAAATTTTATTTTTAATCCCTGAATGGATTGAAACACCTCTGCAAAGCTTGAGACAATGCACCTGCTGAGATGAAGCTGGCACCAAGCCACACATACTGACCTGACCCTTTCCCATCCACATTTAGTCAGGTGAGTAACTTTCCCCACATAAAGGGTTGAACAAGCCTCCTAGTGTCTGTCTTACACTCAGCTGTTAATTTGAAGGTGTTAACATGCACCATCTGGTCCTGCAAGGATGGGATTAGTCAAGCGTATCATTACCACTAATAACTTGTTGAATGAAAAGTAAAAATGAAAGCTGAGGAAATCTGCTAGGGTGTAACTGCTCCTAAATTAACTTTCCAGCATTTCTGTCTTATGGAATGTCCTATTTGCCAGGAAACGTGAAGAACCAATGAACAGATGACACACAAAAATGTGTGGGTTTTTTTTTCCTGCTGTCACTGTGGACTGCTCCTTGTTCCCTGTCCCTTGTCTCTGCCAGCCAGCAGGACAGAGCTGGCTGTGCAGCTGCAGAAGTCCTTTTCCAGCCAACATGCCCACATTGTGACCTTTGCCACAGAACCAAAGTCTCTGTGGAGAGAACAATCATCCTTGTTCATGCTTTTGGAGATGCTTCTGTCAAAACCGAATTGCTCAGGTAAGTAAGGATATTGAGAAATTGGGGGAATATTTTGTTATAATCCTAATACTCACCTTAAAGACCGTGACAAAAGGTCTTGTGTGTTTTTACACTGAGAAAATAGAAATGAGAGATTCCTGATTTTCAATCTTTTTGTGATGGCTTTCCTCTATACTTATTGTGTACTCTGTCCCGAGGGAAAACGTCTTTCAGGAAGGTGGCTTTAACTCACAAGCACCGATCACATACTGATAATGTTGAAGTGCTACAGGTTCCTGCCATTGCCAAATTCCAGCTTTCTTAATGGCACAGTTATATATTGCATGGGCAAAAAATGTTTTCCATCCTTCAGCCAAGATTTTAATAAAGAAATGCTTTTGACATCTATAGTCTGCTTTCAGGCAATCGCTGTTGTGTTTTGAATGAAGGAGAAGATGGTGAGTGAGATTTCAGTGGCTGTTAAATAGCCTGTGTTCATTCCTTCCCTTAAAAATAATGTTAGAAATCGGTTTTTATATAGTGTTGAGAAGGAGGGAACTGTTGAGCACAGATTACTTCAAGTATGAAATGCCCATTCTGTTTTATGTAGTCGAGAAGTAGAGGTATCAGCTGTTGTCCCTCATTGACAAGAGTCAGAGGGGCTGCAGAGAAACTTCATGCTCTAGCTAATTTCTGGAGTAATATTCTACATGCTACTCATTTTCCATCCAGCATGAACATGTGCATTCTGACTCTATTTACATGAAAGCACAGCAAAGTGTGGATGACACACCTCCACACTGAGGCCCGGCGCAGGAAGGGGTCTTGTTTTTCAGCCAGATTCTTTCTAGGTCACCAGTGCTTTGAATGAAGATGTCAGGATCCTGCATCTGTTCTCCTATCTTGCCAGATGTCTGAAGGTGAGATAAGAGGCTTCATGCAGCGAAGGAAAAAAATTTATCTGTATTGTGGTTTTTTGTGAGTCAGCTAAAAAAAAATAAATAAATCAGGTTTCCTTTGGCAAACTGAATGAAATGAAGAGGTTTCACTTGGCTGGGATTTACCTATATTTAGTAAAGAATTCAACAATATACTAGAAAGAATATCCTCTGTTTAACTTCTTTTAAACCTTTTCTTTTGCTGATCTGAAAATATGAGTGTGCTGCAAATATTGCCAAAATTATGATTGTCTTCAAAATCTTCTGAGAAGAACTGACAGTGGCAGCTAATATCTCCAGTAGAATGTTGTGGTTTGGCTTTGATTTGTGGTTAGCTGTGGCTGGAGTGGCAGCTGGAGGTACAATTTGCAGAAGTACTTCCAAAATCATGATTCATTTCCAGTTGTAGTTGGACAGATTGAACTGGGGTCAGGCTTGGTTTGATTCCCTCTTCTAAAATACCTGTATCTTGTACTGTTTCTGCATTTCAAAAGTTCTCTTGTTCTCTCCGCTGTCATAGTTATGCTATTGTAATTCTTTCATAAAGAATGGCTCTAGAAGGCCAATAAATAAATAATTCATGGTATACCCCCTAAATGTCTGCTTTCTGGATAGCTTGAAGGCTGTATGTTAGCAGGAGGCTTGGGTTACTCTGGGACATTTTTTAACTGACAGTCACACTTTTAAAATGAATAATTGTGTTTGATCATAATAGCAGCCAGTCAGCAAGGACTCATAAATTCCACTGAGTTACCAGAGATATAGTTTAGTCTCCTTGGAATCCATAATGCATTTTTAATCGGACTATTATGGTCTACGGTACCTGCATATTCCATTGAAAGTTTGAAAAACTTTCTATTATAATTCAATAGAAACCTAAAGAGTCATATATCCTTCTTGGGTTTCTTGAGCTTATTTTCTTGGCTTGTGGTAACTCCCAGAGAATGGAGAAAGGGCTTTACTTTTTTGACCTGCTTCTTCAGTCGTTTGTTTTCCCTCACTGAACTTTCCTTTAACAGTAATAAACTCTTTGTTCCCTCTCTTGCTCTGTAACAATTTGAATGCTTGTTGTTTTGAAAGCCTTTTGGGGGGAGTAACACTCCAACCAACACTGGGTGGGTTAACGCATAAGGTTATGTCTGCTCGAGAAAGTACTGTGAATATTTCTAAAGGAAGGTCAGTAGGTCTGATATCCACACTACTCATTTCAGGGATTTCTTTTCAACAGGATGAATCTAGTTTAGCTAGTTGGACTGAATGCCCTGTAGTAGTCAGAACACATTTCAGGGCATGAGAGATTAGGGCATGTTGTGTGTGCTCTGACATATGAACAAAAACAAGGGAGAACAGTCACAAGATTTACAATGGAAATGTTAAAAAATTGTTTAAAAAATGTTGTGTAGGTGCACCTACCTGGGAGCACTGCATGCCCTAAACTGTTTCTGTGGCTAGCTGTGTAGAGAAGATACAGTATATCTGTATTTCCTCTGAGATGGTCTTAGGACTGACAGCAAATTCCTTTCATTCCCCTCCCACTTATTCAGGATGGATTTCAGCAGTGTTCTCTTGCAGCTTTTTTTTTTTTTTTTTTTTTTTAATACACTTTTGGCTGTGGAATTTGAAAGAACGCTAAAAACTCAGCATTACTGTTAATAAGAGTTTCAGAATCGCAAGCTGTCCCTCCTGTGCTTTTGCAGGACATGGAATATTGCATGAATCCTTGCTGCACTGGCATTTCAGCAGCTTTTCTGTGTACAGCTTGTCTTTGCTCATACTTCTCTGCTTCCTCCATTTTGTAGTTTATTTATCCCTTCTGCAAGGCCCAAAAGGATCTATACTATGAATAATGGCCCAACTTGGTCCTGATAATCACTTATTTGCTTGGAATGGAATGAAAGCTATTCATTATTTGACACAGGACACTGAACAGCCATCAGGTCAGGATGTTGTCAGTGATGTGGGGTAAGTTACACCTAACAAGGGCAGAAGAAAATGATCCTATATTATTCTCTTCAGGTTCTAAAAATAATGTTTTTCTTTAGCAACTCTCAGCTGAACAGTACTCCAGAATTAGTAACTATTTTATCAATATATAAGGGTGAGCGCAGCCACCAGAAAAGTGTTATAAAACCAGCTGGGTAGGTACATAAGCTGAACAACTTGACCGTGGGTAACAGTGGCCCCATGGCAGGCAGAGCCAGCCAAGGCAGTGACCTAGAATTTTGTACTCGAGCTACTAAACCACATAGAAACAATTTGATGAGTGTCCTTTCACAATGGAGATGCTGGAAATACATTCTCTCCCTTGAAAAAAATGTTCTACATTTGGGATGCAGAGTTCTACACTGCCTTTTCCACTGAAACAAGAACAGTATATATTACAAAAATAAAATAAAATAAAATAAATCTGAGAAAGCTGTCCAGTTCTGATTTTTATGTTTTTGTTCCATTGAGTTTTGACTAAAATCTGGACACATGAAGAATATTTCTCCTTCAGGTCACCGAACTGCGGATCTCTGAGCTGGTTCCTTCCCCTTTTTCTGGGCTGCTGAAGATGGTGGTGCTCCCTGGGCTGTAAGGATGACATCTTCTGAACCATTCCCTTTATCCTGTTTTGCAACACAAGTTTAAGGGGGACAGTTTCCTCTGTTTATTGCAATTGAAGAGTGGCTGTGTTTAGAATGAAGGGCAGTACTGGGGATGTGTGAAAGCCTTTATTTGCGTTCTTCTTTTCTTTTTACACTCTTCAGGCAGTGTTGCCAAGTTGCACCTCTCTTAAGTGTGAGAAAGAACAGCACTGCAAAGCAGTGACTTTAAAGAGCCTGGCTGCATTTTGGCACCTGGTCACTGGAGATGGAATGTGTTTAAAACCTTAAGCTCCCTCCAGCTGTCTGTGGTATACTTGTGGAAAACAACAATAATGCTTTTCCTGTTCTTCCTAGAGCCAAATATGTCTGTTACAGTCAAGTAACAGAGCAGTGTAATCTAGTACTGATATCCCTTCAAGCTAAACAGGGCACCATGGGAAGGGAAAGGAAACCAAAATGTTGGGCTGTGGCTCAGCTTTGCTTGGCCACGCATGTGCTTGTGGCTTCCCAGCGCCTGCCCAGGCCCCGCTGCTCCAAGGATAAGACAGTGATTTATGACAAGCTTTGTACTTTAAACAATTTTTCATTTAAAGTTCTGCTCTTACTATCCAACTTATCCTCTTACAGCGATGAAGGTACAGGCTACACATGAGGGGAGTATTGTTATTTCTGCGGGATATTATTTAAAATAAAATTTCTTAAAAAGTAAAAAAAGAAAATCACCCTAGCTTGTGGTGAGAGCTCTGTTTGCAAACCATTTTCCTACATTTTACGTGGAATACCTCCAGCTCCCTCTTTTGCATTGGTTGTCTGTGACACGTTCCCAGAACTAATAAGCCCCTCTTTTTTCCAACAAGATGAAGGCTCTGGGCCTGCTATAATTGCTCCCAACATCCTGACTCTACCTGGAATGCTTCCATCTCCTGGAACAAGCCCAGTGTCTGCTCTGCAAACCGCAGTGTCCATAGTTTTGGTTGTTAAAAATACTAAAGATATACTTTCTTAAATGTACCTGTATGAGAGTTCAAGTGTTGACAGTTCCTACTAGCATATGAAGCACATTTATTTGATTTTGACTTTACGCTTGATGCCCGTTAACATTTTAATTTAAAGATTTTATTTTACAAAGTTGATAAATCTTTTATTTAATGACCTTAATCTTTGTGTCCTTTGCATAACAACATTTTAGGTATTTATACTGCATTTCAGTACAAGACACCACAGAATGTACTTTTCATCTTAATTCCTCCTTGTTTCTCTACTTCTCTTTGGATGAGTGTTGCTTTGTGTATTTGCTTGCCCTGACAGATTTTGTGTAAGTATTTCCAGGTTTGTATTTTCAAGTGATTTTTACTATTTGTTTCCTTTTTTTTTTTTTTTTTTTAGGACAATGGCAACTTTGAAATCCCAGGCAAAAAATGCTATGTGGCTGAGAGACTGGTATTAACTTTATAGGAGAGCAAAACTCCCAGCTCTTTCAACAAGCAGAAGTGTGAGAAAAGTGGATGTGTATGTTACAGCAGGTATGAGATCTGCTGCCCACAGGACACGGAGTGGGGCTGAGGCAGGCTTGATGTGGTCTTGTGATGCTGAAGGCAGCTGCTGGTTTCAGTGAATAAGAATGGCTCTGGGCACTTTGTCTCTTGATTTCTTTCTCATGAAAGTAGCAGGTAGCTCTGAGAGCATGGTGTCTGGTTCCCACTAGTTGCAGTCTGGATGTGAACCAGTGACCCGGCTCACAAGTTCAGAGCTGTTAACCCCATGCAACTTCTTTTACATTTTAAAATGGTACAGACCAAAAGCAAAAGAAGAACACAAAGCTGAGTAAGTCATCGCTTATATACTGTGCCACTGGAGCATTGGATTTGTTTACTTTTCGTATTTGCTCTTTTGCATTTAGCTGCTGCTGTGTTGCCATCACCTTCTTGATCAGTGCAGGGACATCCTGGCCTGCCCAGCACAGCCACTGGGGTAGGGGTGTCTCAGACATGGTGTGAAGCTCTCTGCCAGGCTGGCCTTGCAGGGTGCGTGGTATTTTCCTGTCAGCTAGATGTAATTGTTTGCATGGAGACTTTGCTGAGAAGCCTTGGGAGGGGGAGAACAGAACTGAAATGCACTTTTCATCAACTCTGCACATTCATATACATCTGTGTACTCAGAAAAATACCCGAAGGTTTATGCCGCCAACAAAAACAGCTGTATATAATGAACAGCCAGTCCTTCCTGTATGCTACTCCAATATATTGCTCCCATATGACCTACAGCATAAAAAATATTTGTAGAAAGGACTTGGCAAATAATTTTCAGAAGTTAATACATCTGAAAAAAGGTATGACAAAATTTAACAAAACAAAAATTGAAATTAATTACTGGATTTTACTTGAGGAATTCTCTCCTTCAGAAGTTTAATTTCAGTACTGTTCTATTTTCCAATCTTATATAAACGTATCAATAGTATAATTCATAAATGGAGATTTGATTATTCTGCTATTCATTTTTATCATCTGTGGAAGAGTGGATTTCATTTTTATGTTATTTCTACTGTAGAAGGAATGTATATGTATGTCTCTGGCTACATGCGTATGCTCACAGCTAGTTATTTTCCTTATTTACATTTATGAGAGAACTCTCCACAATGCCTTTTGAAAAGCACTCAAATTCTACTGTTGCCTATTTTGTTAACTTATTTATGTATTGAAATAGTCCAAGGAGGGAGCAGATTTTCTTTAGAGAAACCATACTTCTTTAAACAGTTGGCACTTTCTATCTCAGTGTTGCACTGTGCTGCCCTTAATAACTTCTTAATAGTTTCCCACTAAAATGCTTATGATTATTATAAACGAATGATTTATTATAGACTGCAATTATTTGCTATCATCAAGTATTGCATGCAGTGCATCTTGTATTTGACTGAAGCTATGTACTGTGACACAAGCTTTCTCCAAGTACACGTATCTGTCTGACTTTTTTTACAACACAAGTAAGGATTGCATTAGAAAGGAGATTCAGAGGTGGGGTGGGGGGGAGAGGGGAAGGAAGGAAATGGTAAAAGGTGGTCTGGACTATTTTTAAAAAATGGATTAATTAAAAACTAACAAACAAATATAATTTGCCAGAGTGATGCTTCAAGGAGCAATTTACAAGTACAAAATTCAAAGTAATTGTTAAACTTTAATATTCATTGTCAGAACAGATTTTTTAAATTATTAATTCTTTTCTCTACAAACTTGCAAAATAGTTTTGTCTGATTTGAAGCAGCATATTTAGGAATAACTGTATTTTACCTTCTGTTTCAGTTACCTTCTGCTCCTGACTTAAGGATGAAGTGAGAATCACTCAACTTTTCCCACTATTACTGAGTTATTGTAATTAGTCATTGGCAGTTTCTTTGTCCTCATCCATTGGGATGGTGCCTCCCACTCCCTTGCTTTGGCCAATGGTTACTTAAGGCTCAGTGACTGTTTCTTGCTCTACGTGTGCAGTCAGTTAATATCCTGAAACGATCTTGATGATCTGTCAGCAGTTTGTGCAGCTATTCCTTCTGAGCTTTCACTCAACATAAAGCATGATCTCAGTATAGTGGCCTGTGATGAGATTTTCGTTAAATTTTATTTCCAGTAATTTAGGATTAGGTTAGATTCTGTGAAAGATGATGTACAAATTAGACCAAAAAAACAGTTTCTAATTTTTGACAGGAAAAGACTACTTCACCACTGACAATTTTGTTTCATATTATTTTCACTTGACTGTATCGTCCAGTATCTGACACATCACGTTAGACCTTGAGATTTAGCTCATATTAGCTCCACTTTGAGAATTTGTCCAAAGCTCCCTGTATTTATTCTTAATCTCTAGGGTTGCACTAGGAAATTCATCATTCATCTTTCGTTCCTGACCTATTATTATTATTATCTGTGTATCTTGTTTTACCATTTTGCAAACAGTCTTTGGCTAAATCTCCTAGTCACATCCTTCAGTGCTAAGATAACCTGAGATTTTAGCTACAGATTTCAAGCATTGCTATGCGATTGCATAGCTGTTGAGATGAAGGGGGATTAGTATAGTTTAGCCTTGATTGTATAGGTCATTGAAAATCATGTATTGGTAGAGTAACAAGCTATAAGAATTCATCCTTTGGTCAAGTCACAATGCAGCTTATATAGACAACAACTCAGCAGTATTTTTTTCCATTAGTAAACCACTGACCTTAGGCTCCCTCCATGGTACCACTCTTCTCAAGTGTGGTAATGTAATTCTGTTTGGTACACAGCACCTATGCATCCTGTGACTTTATCAAATGAATGCATAAGCATTTTGACTTGGCATTCTTGGCCACTCAGTTTTCTAAAAGTATCAGTAGCTTTATCTGCAATGGCAAATAGACAGTGAATATCTGTACTTAAATAGTTGGACCAAAAAAACTGCATCTATTTCTGTAAATCCCTAAAGTGAACTGTGAAATAGTTGCTACTATTGTGTAATCCTCTTGTAATCACCTGTAGTGCTTGCTGAAGAAATGCAAATTTTCCAAACTTTATAAGCAAAATCAAAACCAGGCTGAGTGCAGTTCAATAGTTGTGATGTAGAGACCTGAATTCTGGAGTCAATGCTGTGTACTGATGCATGATTTCTCCCAAACTGCTACATGAAATATATCTGATTGCATCTCTGCAGGATGTTTTAACTACTGTATGTCAGTAAAACTTGTTGTTTGGAATGTATCAATAGCAACTGTAATTTTGTTCATTTGTCAGCAATAGTCAGGATTTAGGAACATTATCTCCTTCAGATTTGGATAACAAATCCATAGTGAGAGGGCATTTTTACCTATCTCAGAAACTTGTTATATCTAGATTTATTACTGTCTGCAAAGAAATGTGAGATCTTGCAGGAGCACCCTCTAGAAATCTGAACTTTCTGAAAACATTTTGGCTATTTTTCCACTTTTGAATCAGTGCCCAAACTTTTCCCCCTCTTTTGAGATCCTGTTTTCATTGCTGCACCTGCCAATCTCTTTGTTTTCCCTCAAAATAATGTGATAAACTAAGAAATCTTAAAGCTTTCAGTTGCTGAAGTATCTTCTTAGACATGAAACTTTGCAATGCCTGTTACTGCTTGGGTTAAGAAGGGGGGCATTGTTGCTTAGAGAGCTCCCATAAATACTGTGTTGAAGCATCTCATAAAGAAAAAATGCATACTGGGAAATAATCAACAGTGATTCATTGATTCCTCACTGCACTCTGAACTGCCTGTTTTCAGCTTCTAAATGAATCAATATACAGTAAAGTGTCAATCACGAAGAATGGCTACTGGTATGCAGCAGCACATCTTGTGGTGAAGACAAAGGATGGAAGTTGCACTGAGCTGTGTTCCGGTTACTCATTGAGCCACAGACTCACTCCATGATCTTAGGAAGGCCACCTTGCTTCTTTGGCTCATCAATTCCTTTGTCCACCTTTTCTAGCTAAGATTTGTGACCGTGTTATCAGGGACTGTCTTTAGTCTTCTGACCTTTTGTCCTGTCAGGCCCAACCAAATAGTCCACTGTAGATCCCTCTTATTGTGTTCATTGCTGCTGTCCTCTACAGGAGTTTCTAAGATCAGAATTAATACATCACGTAGTTTAGTGTTGATGGGATGTATGTGGTCACCAGTCTCCTTCTTACTATTTACCTTTTTTAGCTATTTAAGTCTCTTGCATTCCGCTTTCGAGGAAAAGGAAGTTGATTTATAATCTAAATTTTCCTCCTGCATTGAGGCTAAATACAGCCTCAAACTAATTAGTTCAGATGTTTGGGTAGCTTATGCCTAACCCTTCCATTGAGAACATCCCATTAAGAAATCAATTTCATATGCATGAAAGTCATATGCAAAATGCTGTTGTGCATCACTAGGTATATGTTGGTAGCAGTCCAATTGGACAGGACTGGGGTGAAATGGATCAGCATTGTGGCACTGCTTCAGGTTAGAGTTGTGGGTGAGCTCTAGCTATGCCATGTGGCTTTTGTAGTATCTGCTGTAAATAAACAAGAAGAGTAGATTTGTAGGTGGTATTAGACATCAGTTTTCCTGTAACTGGAATCCTGGAAATGTTTACAACAGTGATGCAAACACTTATGTTGAAGAATAGCCAGCTTAACTGGAGAGTCTTCTCATCTGCAGTACATGCAGCAGATATTTCCCAGCTGGATCATGGTTTGGAAAAAACTGTGACATGAAAATAGGGTAGTGTGTTCACTTTCACCGTTATGTTGGTTGCAATATAGAGGAGCAGGAAGGAAAAGCAAATTGCTTGCTGGAGTTATCAGGCTGATTAATTCCTTGGCTTGACAAATTTAGCTAAAGTATTTTTGCTGGGTTTGAAAAGCTACAGTGTGTGGAGAATAAGTGAAAGGTCCTTGCAAAGAAGTAAACAAACAAAAAGCCACAGCTGATCAGTTCTTGGTCACATTTCAAACAGTCAAAAACACAGAATATAGGTTTGTATCAGACCTGGGCGGTGCCTGGGTTTGCCTGGTGATATCTCTGAAACAAACAGAAGAATCAAGGCCAACAGTGATCAGCAGGAAAACTACAGCTTTTAAAGAAATAAAGTATGCTGAGCACTGTGTGCAGAGAGCACCTTTTGCCTTTTGGAAGACAAATGCATTGAGGGATTACTTTCACCCATATACCACTTCACTGCCACTAATTTTGCTATTAAGTTGCTTGGAGAAGACCTTTTAAGTGTGTGGATAGGCTTTATGATGGAATCCTAGATATTTCCAAGCTCAGATACATAATTATTTACCAAGGTTGGCAGTAGTATGTAGCTTTGTGTAGACACAGAAAAGCTGGTGATCAAAACCTAGATGCTGTGGCTTCTTGTGAGCATTTTCCAAGGTGTTTTATTTATGTGCGCACTTTTCAATGTACTCAGTAGTTTTCTTGGGAAAGAACAGGAAAAAAACTCCCTGTTATGACTGTCAGTTGTCTACAAAAAGACATAACTAATTAGTTGACCACTCAGCCCTGGAACGTGATGCAGTTCCCTTGAGCTTGCAGTTCAGTATTGTGCTCAAGCGTTTCATTCTGTGCACTCACATTTCTTCCCGTCTGTTGCAGCAAAGGTGCAACCTTATTAAAAATACACTTGATGCTGCTGGATACCTCAGTGGAATTTTGTGTAGACGCATGAGTCAAAGCTTTCACTTCAAGTGCTGGGAGGCAGGTCTACCTCTTCATAAAATTTAAAGCTGGCAGAGACTGTGAAAATGTTTATCCCAGCCAAAGCTAGTACATAAGGCACAGATTTTGTGACCTTTCTAATATCGTTGGCTAAGAAGTTCTTGATCTCAAGAAAAAAAACTCCAGCAGACGTAGGGTATCAACCTTTTCCTTTGTAGTTGGTTCCAGCTGTTAGTCATCCTTTTCATTCAAAGTGGCCTCCGCCACTATTTACCCATGTGTTTAGTTACCATTTATTTTGCTTTTCCACAAGTAAGGAGGGTAAGTATTTTTGTTTTGTTTTGTTTTGCTGTTTTTTTTTGTTGTTGTTGTTGTTTGTTTGATTGCTTTTAATTACACAGTTGTTGCTTTTTCTATGGAAAGAATAATAGAATTGATTTATATTTATGCAATTTTTAAACTGGTTTTCTCCCTCCAGAAATTCCATTTTGTCAGCTGAAAAAGCAGAATTATATTTTTGAACAATTAACAAGCTATAAAATGTTGGCTTGTGTTGCACTATTGAAATTTAGACTCTTCTCACTGTCCTTCCCTGATTTTGGTAAAAGAGATGTTTTAGTCAGGATAACAAACTATGCTCTAAAGCTTCTTTCAGGAAGATGTTCTCAAGTTGCACTTAAACTTTTTCAATCATTTTTATTCTTAATGATATAATCTTTAGTTCTGCACAATATTTTATGTATATGAAGAAAGAAATGTAGCAAAGCCTGCCTGGAAACATTCCAACAGTGAACTGCTATAAGATGTCTGTCCTGAGGCTCTAGTATGAATTACTGCTGCACATCCTAGAAGCCCTAATGGCAAGATGATTGTTAAGGAAGGCCCTAGTGGGACACTCATCCAGATTTCCTAAACTGTCTGCTAAACCAGGATTTTGGCCAGCCCTTCTAACTATTGGCTCTTAACAAATTACTTGAGGTAGTTTGTTGATTTGGTTATTTAACTGGTTGGGGTAGGAATACTGGAAAATGTAATGCAAGGGGAAAAATGACAGCACAGCTGTGCAAACAACACTAAGATGTTCCTCATGTCCTGTCCTCATTGATTAGTATCCCCTCCTCTACATACTTAGGGAATGTAGTAAGTTGTATTTAAGTGTATATATATTCTGTATGATGTGCAGAAATATATATAGTTCTGATGTGGCTTATTATGAGCATAATTTATTAATGATAATTGAAGAGCACAATGAAACTTGCTCTGTTACAGCCTTCAGGGCATCATCAGTAGTTTGAGGGTCCAAGAAGATTCTAAACTATGATCAGCATGACACATGCCAGTAGGTGTATCTTAAACAGAAGAACTGCCATAGGGCTATTTTTAGTGTGGCTATCAGATGTCTTAGGATGGAAAATTGCAGAGCTCTATTTCAAAAGATCCTACGAAGCCAGAGAGGATGATCTCAAAATATAAGCAGTATTAAGATTGTAACAAGCATGAATACATTGTCAGAAAGATGAAGGGCAATTCTTCACAGTCACACAGGAGAGGGAAAAGGGAAAGGGAAGATGCTTTCCCCAAACTATGGTAACTCATACATTCTTTAGTTTTGTTTCAGGGTTTGTTCATTTCTTTTCCTTATGGTTCTTGGGACTCAGTCCTACTACCTTCCTATTTACACCTGCATCATGTAATTCCCTCCACATTTAAAGCCTTTTCTGTACTGACTGAGTTGATACATTAGTGTAGCATAGAGTTCAAAGACAGCAGCAGTATATTTTTATAATTATTTATACAGTTAATCAAGATCAATCAAGAGATCCTCACACAGGATTGTCTTCACTAATTGTGCAAATAAATGGATGCCATTTTATTCTTATTGTCTTAAATGCATATTTTGATCAGTAAAAGAGGTTACTACTACTAATGTGTGGCTAAGGAAAAAAAAAGTCAGTAGAAGGTGCATGAAATAATTGAGGCACTTAGTTGAAAAATAGTGTTCATATACAATATACAAATGCACAGACACGTTGTGTAACTACACTGCATTACGTGCTACTGAAGAAGTGTATGCTGAAGATTGTAATGGGAGAACTAACTATGCTTCAGAGCATGACATGTGGCTCCATGTTCTTAATTTTAGTAGTATCTAATCTCTCTGTGGCAGTAATGTCCCAGCTCGGTTTCCACAGTCAGATGCAACTTCTTGTTAATGTGTGGCCTGACTACATGAGAGTAGGAAGAAAACTAAAGAGGTTTATTTGAAATTCTTCCCCAAACTCACATAAAAGCACATGTGAGGATTTTTGCTTAGAATTAAGAAAAATGTCAGGCTATTTGGGGATAGAAATTAAGTACTACTGTGTAATTGGCTGTGTTTTCTAGAATATGTTGGAATTGGTTTTCTGAAGTTTTTCTTCCAGTCTTGGATATGGAGAAAAAATACTGTTCTTTCTTATTTGAAGACACATTCTTAATAACTGAGAGACTGCTTCACTGTAGTTCTGCATAGAAGTTTAATTGCTCAGCTGCAATTCCTACAGTTTGCAGGCAGCAGTGCGTAAGGTCACAGGCAGGTTAGGCTGTGGAGCATCTGAACTCCAGTTCATTATGTTATTATTATATTAGTCATAGTTAAGAGAGGTGACAGGAATGTAACTCTTTTCTCCTAGCTGAGTTCTCTCTGAAAATTGTACATTTTGAAAGACGGTAACGTGACCTCCATTTCCTGTCCAAAATCTTTTACTGTGCTTCCTTGCTGATATCTCTGGCTCTTTCCTGTTTCTCAGTACTGTGCGCAGCAACTGTATTTGTAAGTTTGCTGTTCCCTACCCTGAAGACTTTCTTGATTAAATGTTAGCACTTTTTTGTTGCTTAATTTTCTTCCCTCTCCTTTGGCAGCTTTCCTCAGCTCTTGGCAGTTTCAGTTCTTTGTCTAGGCTGTGCAGTAAGAGATATTCTCATTCTGGGTACATTTCTCAGAAAGAACAACTTTTGTTGCCTCTCACAGAAGCCTCATAGAAATGTGCACAATGTTTCCTTTTCAACCAGCAGCCTATGTAAATCTGTAGGATTCAAAAGAGTCTTCCTGCTATCAAAC